GAAGTTCATATCTTTTTTCTGATAGCATTTGACAAACATAAATATGCACACATATGTGTAAACGTATGTGTGCTTATACATGCACTAACCCATTTTAATTCCACTATATAGGAATTACTTAAACATCAAATTAAGATAAATTTTCCTGTAGACACACAATTAGGGATATCAATTTCTAGATATAAGTTTGGTATGTTTATCTTTCAATTCTCACACCAAAAAAGACTTAATTTCACATTCCTTATCATTTCTATAATTTGTGTGCATTTAAAAATAAGTGTGTGTATACCTTTATGAACAACTAAAATCTGTATGTATAAAGTTGAATTGTAGCACCATATGAAATTTTGTTGTCAAATGTTATCAATTACTCTAGATTCAGATAATGATAACTTTATATAGCATATCATTCTGCAGTATTAGAGTCTGTGTCTTTATGAAGTCAAATAATTTTGAAGGGTCCACAAAACATCCCTATATATAGTGAATACTGTATTTTGCTTCCAGATGTTTTGGTATCATATAGACACAGCCATGATACCTTTCTGGAAGAGAACTCAGCACCTTTTCTTGAATAACTGAATTTGTGTGAAAAAATGTAATTATTTAATCTGAACATAATGTATACAACTTCCTGCAAAAAAAGGCACCCAATACACAGTTTTGAATGACAAGTGATGAAATGAATAATAAAGAATGAAATATAGTCTCTCATTTAGGAGCTCATAAACTAGTTTTCCAGAATCCATGCAATTCCATTTGTGTGTATGTGTTCCACCCTCGAATATGAGAGACTATGCCTGAATTTACATACTGAAAATGCTGGTCAAATTTTTATTTTATTTTAATTACTTCAAGGTTATGACACTGAAGAACTATTTGAGCTCCATGTTTGACTTACAGGAAATATTTTTGTGTAAGTTAACAGTGTTTACAATCAATTATCTTTTGTTATCGTATATCATTGAAATGGTGATCTGCATTGATTTTGTAATTGAGGTTAGAACTGATATGTAATAAAACAAGTAAATATATTTTAAATTTTATTTTATGGATAATATTTTTCATCGGACTTGCATATTTGTTTACTTTTAATTACCACTGAATAGATTAAAAGCTTTATTATTTAAACTCTTCTCTAGTTGAGAGTCTAATGAAAGCATTATTTTCTTATCTAATATCTTTGCTAAGTTTTAAGACAAAAAGAATGAAACTGCATTTCAAAGAGAATAACATTTTATAAAGTAAATCAGTGAATAATTAATAAAAATAAGGCTCCAGTATAAGGGAGAGAAGTGCAAATATTTCCAGAAAACCCATTGAAATATTTTATTTTCATTATTATGTCAATTTGACTAACTGAAAACTAATAAAAAGTGATTTTTTTCACTTGTCAAAAAAAGTTTTATTCCTAATTGGATAGTACCTATGTATGTGTGGATAATTAAACATAATTAACCACTTATAATGGAACAGTTAAAGCAATTTTAACTGAGAATATCTAGAAACAAAAAGAGAATACCTAGAATATTGCAAAGGTAATATTGTTGGTTATGACAATTCTTGGAAATAACTAAATAACTTGGTTGTTTGTTCTAAGGGAACTTTTGCCAGAAATTTACATGGCATTCTTTTTAGCTAAAAAAGATACTTTTCATAAAGACTAAATATTTTCACTGAGGGGAGGTTAGTCACATGGTGGAGAAATGTAGCACACCTTTCTGTATTACTCTATCAATTAATCAAGCTATGCTATTACATGAATTTGTCCAATCATACATATATAAAAATAAACAATATGCATAATAAATAAGTCAATCTTCAATATGTGTAAAAACCTGCATGTGTAGTTTATAATATAAACTGAAGAGAATAATTCTGTAATTTTAAAATGCACAACTTGCATAAGTTATAGAGCTTTCAAACAGAATTACTAAGTAAGTTTTAAAGAACTTACTGATATAACCTGAAATAAAAACAAATAATTTAAATTTTTTTCACCTAAAATCTATCTACAATTTTCTAATTTTTTCTACAACAAATGTGTATTACACATACAATAAAAATAAAAGCCTATGGCTACTCTAGAATTTAAAAAGTCTACTTCTAATTCTAAATACCACATTAAACCATGGATGTCAAGTACGAACATCCATAATGTATGAAAAAAACAAAGTGCACAATAGTTCTTTTTAAAATACTAATTATATACAACAATACAGCTTTGTACTATCACAGCACCTTTGAATATGCTAGAAACCTAAATTTAAATAATACTTAAACAAAAAGTAGGCTTCACAAAATCTAAGAAAACATGGCTGTTACACAAGAGCACCTATAGGAAGCATTTACAGAGTGTGGTTTAAGTTCATATAAAATTTCTTAAGGTCCACCTGTCCTGTAGCATTTCTGTTGAGATAAGGCTCCACATCACACCTAGCTAGACACACAATTACAACACGTAGGTAAACAGTGAAGAGTGCAGGTGACAAAAGAGTAAAGTGAGGCAGTAGTATTTTGGGTTAAAATGAAAAGATTAGCAAATATTGTACAACATAGTGGTTGACTGATTGAATCTATATTCAGTTTTTAAAAATTCTTCTATGGTTTATGTATTTTCATTGATAATGTGGACAGGGTGATCAACAGAAAAACAAGACATATATGTAAATGATTAATTAATTGATGGAATTAAAATTATTTTATAATTTTTATATTTAAACATTGAAAATAAAAATAATGTCAGAAATGTAACTGCTTAAATATCTTATGTTCTAAAAATAAACATATTTAAAGTAAAAGGAGGGGACGTATTTCATTTCTTTTTCAATTTATGCACTGGATATTATATTGAGAATATTACAGGAGCTCATTTATACCAAAACAAGAGGTTGGAAGATATCTGACACCTTGTAAGTCAAACATGTAATAATAATGACAATTAAATTAAAGGTATATACCAAATCAACTGATAAGAAGGAACCAAGTAGGTAAATACATATTTTTGTCTCCTTTGGCTTCTGTGGAAAACTATTTTCAATGCCTTCCATATTGTTGTCAAATAGAAATATTTGACAACAAGCAAAAGATAGATTTGTAGTTAACAGTCAAAAGTAGAAGCCATTTTTATCAATGGCCCAATTTTAAATACTGTTAAATCTCAATCATCATTGGCTTACATGGGTAAATATTTTATCTCAAAGAGCAGGAAAGAAATCAACTTAGAAGTTCCTTTCTCACAGAAGCTGTATTATGAGAGATGGGTCACTTACAACTTTAAAAATAAAGTTTCTATTTTCGTCTTCTGCAAAGACAACACTCACAAAACCACTGAGGAATTTTTTCTAAGGGATTCTGGATAACTATTTCAAGACATTTTCATCTTCATACATACAAAGGAGTGATTAGGAGTCCTTCTCATCACAGTCACTGAGGTGTAAGAAAAATGTGGCATTCTCCCTTAGTTCACAGAGTGTGTAGAAAAGAAGAGACCAAGGTAGTCATGACAGAAGCATTTAAAATGCATTTATATGATAAGTACATACACAAATGGTCATGAAGCCATGGTAGTTTATTATGGGATATGTGAACTGATTCACTTTCTTGGGCCTCATTATCTTATTTACAATTAAATTGAGATTAAGGATTTTGGAAACCCCCATTCTTAGTGTATCTTGGTACCTGCAGGGCACTGACTTTAGGGGTATACTGAGTTGGCATAATTTTAACATTCTTTGGAACTATTTGAATTAAACTGAAATATTTAATTTATCGAGAAGAGATGGGAAGAAAGTTGTTCTATGTGAATAATTTATACGGAGGTAAATTTTAATTTTAAGTATTTTTTACAACAGTTATTTATAATTATGTAATATAATATTGCAACTTAAATGACATTTCTCATTACCAGTAAAGTATTTACACTCACAGTCATTATAATCAACTAAGTAATGTTTAAACAATTAGGTAGCACATATGTTCGAGGAACCTGACATCACTGGAGGTACAAGGGATCCTGTATTGAATCAATGGAATCTCTAAACTTTAACAGAAACTCATTTAAAATATTACCTACATATTAAATATCCTAGAATTACACTAATTTGAAATGCTTAATAGAGCATAAACCTTTTCTAAAATCCTTGATATTAAAGAACGCTTCAAATAATATAGTAATTTTAATGTACATACATAACAGATCAAATCCTATTCACACTTTCCAAGGTCAAATGATACACAATTAAGCATCTGAATGAAAATCCAGGAAGCATATCTTACGTTGTGATTATAAGGGTCCTTTATACTCCCATTTTGTCCCAAGAAATCATGATTTAAAAAAAAAAAATTCTATTAGTAGTATTAGTAAGTCATAAGCAGCTTAAAGAATATAGCATAAAATTGGAACATATCATTCTCTCCTCAATAAAATATAATGTATAATGAGTTGACATACTTTGAAAAGTGAGCTAATTTTAAAGAGCAAATTACTCAAAGCAATGTTATATATTCAGTAATTCAATGCCAGAGAAATAAAATAGTTCTATTTAAATGTGGCTCTGGTACCTTATATTTTTCCTAGGTAATTTCAAAATTGAGATATAATCTTTCGACATAACCTGTCTAAATCCTTGTTTTTACCCTTATATGACGGGAGTTTTGATTCATAATACAAGAAATACATTTCATTCAAAATATCAGGGAGTATAAAGAACTTTACATTCTCCTTTCAGTAGATAAAAACAGAAAAAACTTCTTTAAGTATTTATAGAAAAAGGAAACATCATTACAACAAAAACATTTTTTAATGATTAACGTAGTGGAACAACATGATTACAATCAACATAAAACCCCAGTATGATTATTTTTTATCATCCAATTTTTGAGCAGAGTGGTGATAATTATAATGATTTTCTCAGCAACACTACGCTAGTGAATATTTTTTAAAAACTGAATTAAAGTTTTTTGCTTTTGTTTTTATTTGTTTGCCTGTTTTTTTTTTTTAAATCTTGCCCTGGATACGTTTCAGAGGGTAGCTTGGATAGTTCAGCTTCACTTCCAAACTCCCGGAGATGATGTTTAAATTCTTCAGCAATCAGACATGGCAAGTAATTCCATGTTTCATTATAGATATATTAACCATCAGTGTGTACACCAAGACAGCATTATGTTACATCACAGTTGCTGACATTCAGAGCAAGCAAACAGAGAAACAGCATGATAGAACTCTGTTATTCCACTGCACTGTTTCTTCCATAAATTTTAAATTTCAATTGCCAGATTACAAATAAAGAAAGCACAAGGGAAGGTTCACTGGGACAACATTTTTAATGTGGTATATTTTTGCTTGCTTTTTAAATGGGGAACCCAGATTACAAAATTAATGATCTTAGCCAAATTTTAAATCACAAATCATTGACATTTTTTTGGAAGGGAAATGCAATTATGTTGTTCCTAGAAAGTTATATCTCACTGCAGATTTCAATAGTTGATGTCCTGGAATCAGTCTAGGACAAGAAAAATAACATGTTATCAAAATTAGATGGTTGTGGTCTAGGAGTCTTATTTGCCAAGCATGCTACATGGCTAAAATTCACATTACCAAGGTATAGATGCACAGAATCAAAGTTACTGAATTTAATATTAGTGAATACTAATCCTATGCCAAGCTAACTTAGACTACTGTTACCATTTTGAATCGATGTATCATATCTACAGCATGGTTCTACCCATGAATTATAACCATCCAAAACTTTCACCACTCCCTTTAACTCATTTCCCAAATTGAAAGACCGTATCAGTTCAAATCACAGAAATTTGTTAGAATTATTTTGATGGGGAGAAAATGAAGTACCTCAAATACATGTCTAAGACAGTGATTACTATATAGAAGACCTTCAGAAATGTTTTGGGGGTTTTTTTATTATTTTTTATTTTCCTCTCAATTTTTCAAAGGTATACCCGGCACAATATTTTAATGGGGGAGCTGTGTTAAGCAAGACTTGGTTTGGGCAGGGTATCTCTTTTATATGAAAATTATCAAAACTGATTCTAAAATAGTTATTTATACTTATTGATTTTCTATAGTCATACCAACCAAATGCTATCTGCTTGCTCTGAAAGGTGTTAATAAAAAGCAATTTATCAACTCATCCTCTTAAATTTCATGTTTTTTATTTCTACTACAATATATACAAAAATGCCTTCCATAACACATGTAGAAACATGCCAAAAGGAGCATCATATTCCCTAGGTATGGATGGCTCTCTTCAATAGATGTACTCCTATACAGTGAATATTCCATAGTTTTTCAGAACACCAGATCCAGAAAAAAATCTATCGAAAATATTTGATTCCTTTTTTAAAACATAAAATTTCTGATAAAGCTCCTTGTACCTTACTGCTACTAGAACCATTTTATTTCTCCACTTTCATATTTTTATTCAGATGAGTAACGAACTAGATGTAAATATCATCCTAAACTCTCCTTTTGAAAATGTATTTTTCACTTTGTTTAAAATAAATTGGAGTATTTCTGCCTTCTGCTAACAGTAGTATTTTATTCCACCGTCAGAATTTCCTTGAGGAGCAATAAATTTTTATTGTTTTGGCTGACACGTTCCCCCATTTCCTATGATGCTTTTTTAAAAAGAAGGCACCTACTGTGTTTGAATTATTAAATACATAATTTCTTTTTCAGTGCTCACTTATCTTGTTAGCATTCTGCAGCACCAGGGAATGTAAGAGGCCTCTCCTGGCATTAATCACAAATTTAAGAGTATATAAAAACGGTAAAGAACATTGCAAATGAAGCACAAAATGTAAAAATTTAAATTATTTTTAGTATCATACTAGTCTGCCTAAGTTCACCAATTCATGTTCACAAGATATTTAGTAATTGAATATGGAGCAACTGCAAACCAATGATATAAAGTATACAATTTATTTTTTCTAAAATGTAAAAAATCAAATGAGTCATCTGATAACTCATTGATTCTAAGATAGGCCTTTTAGTTAATAAAAACCTAATGATAACCAAAAACTCATTTTCATCAGCATATACTTTTCATATTTTGCCTAATTCATGAAGCCACTGTCCTATGTTTAGCTATATAATATAAAATGTTATCATGGGAAAGAGTTATTAATTTTATTGACTTTAAATATTATAAAATATCAAAACAAGTAAATTTTAAAAATCAAGATATTTGGAAAATACTTCAATTCTTTTTCCTTCATCCATGCCTTGCTTACTGTATGTTCATATTCTCAAGTAAAATTAGTCTAGCTGAGAAATACCTCCATGCCTTCCAAAACAGTTGAAACCAGAATTTGTTCTATTAAGCTAATTTTATGAGCCAATCTTTTAAAAATGATCATCTACAAATGTAATCCACAAACCCTACCCTTTGTGTACTTTTTTAAAACAAGTCACTAGTTTAGTCCAGGAAAGAATGTTATTAGCATACACATCACACATAAAGTGTTATTCATACAGGATTCTTCTCTGTTGAGAAATGCTTCCAATAAGCAGAATAATACCAATAAAGAATTAGAAAATGAGAATGCCTTTTTGAATGGTTAAATATAAACAAAAACACACCCTGAAGAGATGTTAGGCATCTATTATGTCTGTCATCCACCAACATAAGGAAACATGGGACTCATCCAAACTGTAGAAATAACCACTGTCCCATAAACTCATTCAAAACATGGAGCGCTGCCGCGCTCCCAAGCAGCGTACTCTCCAGTGCGCCACCGGGCCGGCCTGGAAACAACCATTCTTAAATTGTATAACTTACTACAAATTTCTAGATAAATTTGTACTCACTTCTCCATGGAATATATATCTATGTGGATACTTCTGCAGAATATGATTGTTTTGATTCATCTTTGAAATCAATAGATTCTGTAAAGTTCTACATCAACTGAAAATAATTTAAAAATGAAATAGAATTAGAAAGTTTAGTTAGAAACTTGGATTACCTACCGGTCTGGTGTGTACAGACACAGGGGTCTTGAAGGTTGTCACTGGATAGCTGCACTCAGAAACGCTGTAGGGATCAGAACTGCTGGAGGAGCACTTGGAGATGGAATCACAGGCCACGAAGGTGTTATCGAGAGGCAGTTCCTGGATGATGTGGTGCTTTGAATTCAGGGGAGTTTCAGGCTGGATCTGGAAGGCAGGCTGTGGAGAGGCAGATTTGTAGTGCCGGGCCAAATCAGGGCTGTCGGGCTTGAAAGTAGTAGGTGTAGTGCCCCAGTTGTACTTGCCCATGGTTTGCTCTTCTAACTCAATGGGAAGGTCTAGTGTGACACTGTTTCCATCATTGTCAGCATCATCTGTCTTCGTTTCTTCAATAGTGACAAAGTTAAGCAGCAGGTTCTTAGGGGCATGCTTCTTCTTCTTCTTCTTCTTTTTCTTCATCATTATCATCTGCCTGTTTTCTGGGTTTGGAGTAACCCATTCAGAATTCTGCTTGTTCTTTTGAGCAGCCTTAAGGTGTGGCGATTGGCGACATCTTACTACAGCAGTGATGAAAATAACTAGGATGACTGTTATGGTGCCAGCAACAATGGCAACCATAATCTTGACATAGTCACTGGTTGGCGAAGATGCATCAGCTGTCTCAATATTTTGGGTCACTGGTGCTTCTATGTTTTTGTGCACCAGTTCATGAATCAGTGTAGCATTGGTCACTGACTCATTCACGAACAGATTAACAATTACAGCATTGAAAAGAGAATCGGGTTGTCCTAAGTCCTTAGCTTTGACTACCAGTCTGTGTAAACCAAGGTCTGCAACAACGCATTTCTCCTTCAGTGTGATGTTGCCTGTTGTTTGATCAATTATAAACAGACCTTTTGTGTTTCCTCCTACAATGCTATAGCGAAGCTCTGCATTCATGCCAGTGTCATTGTCAACAGCAACTACCTTGAAGACCACTGTGCCTGGATTAGTGGACGGTAGAACCAATTCATAGGAGTAATTGGAAGGAGGGACAACAAAAATTGGCTTGTTGTCATTCACATCAACCACATTTATGGTTACTTTGGCAGTTGAAGAACGTGAGACCCTACCACCATCCTCAGCCTTTACATAGAAAGTGTAAGATTCTTGTTTTTCTCTATCAAATGAAATATTTGGTCGTATGACACCTGTCTGTGGATCAATGGTGAAGTCATCATTCACATCTAAAATGGAGAGAGTGACTGCAGAATTCTCTCCATAATCAGGATCAGTTACAGTGATTAGTCCTACTGTCCCATGTCTTGGAAGGTTTTCTGGAACATAGAAATTGTACTCATTGTGAGTGAAAATTGGGCTGTTGTCATTTTGATCAAGAACGGTCACAAAGACTGTGGCATTGGTCACTAAGGGTGGCATCCCATTATCTTTTGCCAGAACAGTGAAGTAATATTTTTCCTGTTTTTCTCTATCTAACTTCTTCACTGCAGTCAGAATCCCTGTTCGACGGTCTAGGTTGAATTCAGATGGTGCATCAGCACCTAAAAGGTAACTGATCTCAGCATTACGCCCAGTGTCTGCATCCGTTGCACTTATTTTCGTCAACTGGGTTCCAGGAGAGTTATTCTCAGGAACAGAAAGACTTATGAAAGGCTGGGTGAAAACTGGAGCATTGTCATTTTCATCTTTCACTTTGATAAGGAGCATGGATGACTGATTCAAAGGAGGTTTCCCAGCATCTGCGGCCAGTAATTTAATGGCATATTCTCTTGTAGACTCAAAGTCAAGAAATGCAGCAGTCTCTAGGAGGAACTGATTACTGAACACTGGCCTTAATCTAAAAGGGACTTCATGATCTGTGAAGCACGTCACCCTGCCATTATGGTCAGCATCCTTATCTGTCACAGTTATGAGAGCAATTTTGGTGTTGAGTGGAGCATTTTCTGAAAGAACCACAGTGCCATTGATTGGATTGATGATGTATCTTATGTCAATTGATGGGACATTATCATTGATATCTGTAACATTTACCAGCACCATTGCTCTTGCTGGCATCAATCCACCATCACTTGCCAAAACCAGTAATTTGTGGTTTGGTGATTCTTCCCTATCCAGTGGTTCTTTGATTGTGATAAGTCCAGTGGTAGTGTTGAGGTGAAATAGTCTCTTGGCAATGTTGGAGACTAGATTGCTGAAATAGAAATGAATCTTGGCATTTTCACCTATGTCTGCATCTGTGGCATGGAGCTGTGTCACTGAAGTACCTACAGGAGCATTTTCTGGTATGCTGACTTCAATCTCTTTCTCCTTGAAGACTGGGTGGTTGTCATTTGTATCAGCAACACTTACTTGCAAAATAGCAGTACTGGATCTTTGAGGAAAGCCACCATCTTCAACCTTTACTTTCATCACATAGGTATCCTTCTCTTCCCTATCTAGCTCCTTTTGAACAATCAGTTGTGGCATCTTATCTCCTTCTGGTGTTTCAATGACATCGAGCCCAAAAATGTTTTGACCCTGGAAAACATGAAATGAAATATAATTTAACTTATGTTAATATAAGTTAACATATTAATACAAATTATGGCATATAACTTAACTTATGTAATGAGAAAAGTTTTCCATTTCTTGACACCGCATGACATAGTAGGATGGGCTCAGAAATAGGTGCCAGAAGACTTGTGTTCTAAGTCTCAGCTCTGCCTATAATTAATATTGTGACCACAGCAAGTTGCTTAAAATCTTTAGATATTTGTAAAATTAGAGTTGTGCTAGAAGATGTTCTGGTGGGTTTCAGGCAGTAGCATTTTATGGTAATAAATGTAAGTAATTTATGTAAACTATTAAAGTTTTCCAAAGAAAGAAGTGTATAGAATTTTAAGAAGAATTGTCACTAAATTTCACATGATAAATAAAGCTATAAGTGAATTACCCATGGTTACTCCAAATGAATTAAAATATTTTTAGTATAGATTTCAGTTTTCTAAGAAGCTGTTTCACCACCAAAAATTATCAGTAAGTATAAAATATTCATCCAAGGCAACAGCATAAGTATCAAATCTAATAAATACACGTAAAACTTTTGGCAAATGGAGAAAATGCACAAATTCTAGTTAGAATATAAATTTGTATAAAATACAGAGAATTTCCATTTTTTCCTAGAGGAAGAGATGTTAAAAATGTAATTATCTTGGAGATTAACAATACAATGTTATTTTATTAACTTTTTTTTTTACATGAGCAATCAGAATGAACTAAAACTCACATGTCAAAAAATCAAATTGGAAAAGATAGCTTGCAACAGCACCTATTTTCTCTTCATGACCCTGAAGTCACAGTATAGGAACATTTGAAAAATAGTCCCCTCTCTGAACTACTATAAGATGAGCTTTACACAGATCAATAGTGATCTTGCACGTACACACAAATATATATGTATACACACACACACACACGAGGGTAATTCAAAATGTTTGTGGAAAAATTGAACTAAAAGATAATACAAATCTTTCCATGAACTTTTTGAAGACCCCTCATACATATACATCTAAATAATTTTTAATTCTCAAGTACATTTTTTAACATAAAAGTTGCTGACATGTGGTGAGGATCAGTTACTGATCTCTCATATATGTGCTCTGTCATAAAAGAACAGGATAACATCTGAGGTTTCCATAGTTTTGTCATCCCAGTGTCTAAAACAAGATCCTAAAAGTTAGAGGCCAAAAAATGATGCTAGTTTTTCAGGGACTGCTAGAATAAACACATTCCACATCACATTATCTTTTTAAAAATTTACTCAAGTGTTATAATTGCCTATATATAATCTTATGCAATATCCAAGTACATCTATCTTTTTCCTCTTATGAATTACTTGAAGATATTTTTGCGAACTTCTGAATTTTTTTTTTTTTTTTACATTGTGATTCACTTGCATTTTTATTTGAATGCAGAGCCATAATATGCCTTGGTGGAAGAATTAGATGTCTATTATGAAATTTAAGGCATTTCACAAATATTAATTGAAATCATCAGTTTGCATCAATGAGATTTTTTAAAATTTTCATATCAGCTATCCATTGTGTACTGGTTATCTTGTTTTTAATTTATACAATTAAAATGAGCATTCTATTCAAATTTTATTTATATAAACCAATGAACAATCTTGCTTTTCTTTGAATATACAGCAAGGGAAACATTTTTTCTTTTTTCTTTTTTTTTTTTTTTTTGTCTTTTTGTCTTTTTTCGTGACCGGCAACGGATCGCAACCCTCAGTGTTGCGCCCGTACCGGACCGGGACCGGCAACGGGATCGCAACCCTCGG